AATAAGTGTATGAGTGTATAAATAGTGTGTGTTCCACAGTTATTGTCAGGTGTTCATGAGATGGATTGCCTGAGGGAAAAAACTGTTCTTGTGTCTGGGCGTTCTGGTGCTCAGAGCTCTGTAGCGTCGACCAGATGGCAACAGTTCAAAGAGGAAGTATGCTGGATGTGAGGGGTCCAGAGTGATTTTGCCAGCCCTTTTGCTCACTCTGGATGAGTACAGTTCTTGAATTAGTCACAGTGCTGTCCATGATGGTGAGTGGGGGGACAGCAGGGGGGTTTCTCCTGAAGTCCACGATCATCTCCACTGTTTTGAGCGTGTTGAGCTCCAGATTGTTGAGACTGCACCAGACAGCCAGCTCTTTATCCTAAATATCCTAAATTGTCAAAAATATCATTAATCATAATGTTAAAAAGTATTGGACTTATTACACTCCCTTGTGGAATACCATTTTCTGCCTTAAAAACTGATGACTGACACGCTCCTATTTGTACTATAAATGTTCGTTCAAATAAAACCTGAGATAACCAATTATACATTTTACCATCTATTCCTATCCTTGATGCTTTAATTAACAACCCTTCTCTCCATATTGTGTCGTACGCTTTTTCTATATCAAAATATACTACTGCCATAATTTCTTTCATTTTTATTGCCTTCTCTATTTCGTTACTGACTTTTATTAATGCATCCATAGTTGATCTTTTACCTCTAAATCCACACTGATATTTACATAATTTACCCTTCTTTTCTAACTCATAAGATAATCTATGAACTATGATATTTTTCCATTAATTTACATACGTTTGAAGTTAAAGCAATTGGTCGATAACTTCCTGGGTTTGTTGGATTTTTGCATATTGGGGTTTAGTGATATTGTTTCTTATGACACCGATAGAAGGCTTCCTGAAGGGGGCGCGTGGGGGCTCAGAAAGCGAATCCTCGCTCAATCGCATTCAGATCATATAATCTTTTCTTTTAAATAATTTGTACACTTGAAGTATGATAGATTAAAAATTGTTGCTTATAATGGTTAGTACATTTCATACGAACAGAATATTTTCCGAGTAATATCTATAAAAATATTTTAAAATCATTATTTATTTACGCCTGTGATTGGTCCATCCTGACCAGCGCTGAAAAATGTAACGGGTAGCAAAAGTGATAACAATGCGCGTGTGTTTGGATAATAATAATAGATGTTTGGATAATAATTAAAACCCATATAATGACAATAAGAAGCTTAAATAGATAATAAGCTTAAAAACTACACACTGAAGAGTTCTAAATAGGATAATTATTATTTATCAGGGCCGCTAAGCTCCGCCCATTGCATAACTCTGTTAGATGCTACTGTTCTATGCGCTTATTCTATTTCTATAGCATGCTTACAGCAAGTAGGGCTTTTCTTATAGCGCCACCGGCCGGTGGATATGAAAAGAATAGTGTATTTTTTTTAATGAAACAACAAACCACAACGCTGTATAACAGGATGACATGACAGTAAATGATGAAAAAAATGCACAAAAAAAAAGACAAGAAAAACATGAACCCATTACATCACATAATGGATAGAATTACAATAGGATTTTATGGCAAAGAACCGTTCTAGATCAAACCCAAAATGTTGATTCGAAATTAGAGAGAGAAGAGACTTAGTATAAAATATAATTTCTGAATTAAAAAATATGTAATTTAAATTGATTTTATGTCAAATGTAATGACGAACTTGTCTGCATTTATTGATGACAGAAATAGATGGCAGAAAACAAAATGGAAAAATAATTGAAAAAAAAAACTATAATATAAAAATATCACATTTAACATACTAAACTAAAGTCTGAACGAAGAGGGGGAAAAGGAAAAAGACTTAAAAGATCCTGAAATCAACAGGACGTGATATTTGACATCACTTCCGCCTCCATACTTCACTTCCTCTCGGCCTCGGCTCGGTCTTTCTCTTTCCTCGCACGCAAAACAGCCATCATGGGTCGTATGCACGCTCCCGGGTAAACGTTTGTTTTACGCTAAAAACACATTCTGTAGGCCATATTACCAACCCAAAATACTGGTAACTCTTTATAACATATGCTGAGTCTGGAATATGTATTTCCATTGGAGCTAGAAAAGAGTTTTTGAGAAGTACATTTAGTCCTACGTTCTCTTCCCCTGTATAGCGTGATGGCAGCACATGTAGAATGAGGCGCTGCAGGATGGACACATGAAGGATCTTTACACACGGATTCAGTTCACATTTACAGTTTATGTGCGGTCTGATTGTTCTGGTATCATATCGCTTAGTTTAACAGAACCTACGTTTGTGTGTCAGATGTGTTCGGCGGTTAGTTAGGGCTGATCAGACCACCTCCTAAATAGTTTTTATGCATTCATCAGAACATTTAATAGTCGAACTCTAATTTCAAGTTTAGATTTAGGATACACTTCTGTTCACTTATCTATGCTTTATATATGACCTGTTGTCAGTTAACAGGTTTACGGTGTGGCTTACTGAAGGAAAAGGGAAATTGTTTAGAAGTTGTAATTTACGGTTTCATTATGGAAAATGTGTTTTAACTGGTCAATGCTTTTTTTTAGCAAGGGTTTGTCCCAGTCGGCGCTGCCCTATAGACGAAGTGTCCCCACGGTAAGTCCACTGATTCAGATTTGTGTGGAACAATAATGCAAATCTAAATGGCCAAGGCTGTTAAAATAGTCAATATTTTTGTATTTTAGTGGCTCAAGCTGACATCTGATGATGTTAAAGAGCAAATCTTCAAACTGGCCAAGAAGGGTCTGACTCCCTCACAGATTGGTAAGTTTTTATTGATATCAAATTAATCTTAACAAGTGCAGTCAGGTCCATTGTATAACAATAATTTCACAAGATTTTTATAGCACGTTTTTTTGTACACCGTGATCATGCAAAGACAAGTTTGGAATCAAGAACATTAAAGGAAACAATAAACTAATGTGAATAAAATAAATGGAATTAGTAAAATGGTTACAGCGGAGGCACATTTGATATTCGTGAGCTGCTTTCCAGTAGAAGAGAATGCTTCTATGTTCATTTGTTGTTGTTTTAATCCATAATTATAGATGCTTATACATATTTTTTTGTTTTGTTTCTATCGTGTGTTTTCATATTTGTGGATTAGATGTCTGTATTGTGTCTGTCTGCACAATTTCATTATGGAACTAATATCACCTGCCATTTTCGCATTAGGTGTGATCCTGAGGGATTCCCATGGTGTTGCTCAGGTGCGTTTTGTCACTGGCAACAAGATCCTTAGGATCCTGAAGTCCAAAGGTCTGGCCCCTGACCTGCCTGAGGATCTCTACCACCTCATCAAGAAGGCTGTCGCTGTGAGGAAGCACTTGGAAAGGAACAGAAAGGTAATGAAACGGTCATTCATATTACATCATGTACTTGCATCTTTACAGTGCAGGCGATCATTTTTGGAAGATTTAAGGAAAAATCAGTCCAATGTGTTTCAGCTGTTTTGTCTCATCATTGTCACTTGTGGTTTTGCAGGACAGGGATGCCAAGTTCCGCCTGATTCTGGTTGAGAGCAGAATCCACAGGCTTGCCCGCTACTATAAGACCAAGAGAGTACTTGCCCCCAACTGGAAGTAGTGAGTGTTTGATTGACTTTTTTTCGACATTACAAGGAATTCTTTTGCTAATATGTAGTGCACATTTCATTGTCCCATTCTTCCCTTGTAAGAACTGAGATATTTCTGATGTGCTAGATAAACCTTGGAGGTAAATTAGCAGTTTGGCTTTATTGTGCCAGCACTGCCAGTCCCCTTCACACAAAAAACTACTTTTGTCTTTCAAAAATGTGTTTTTCCTGAATTTATCTGATTTATTTGTTTGTTTTCATCCACAGCGAATCCTCCACAGCTTCTGCACTGGTGGCATAAATTGGCAGTTTTTGGACAAATAAAATATCTGAATCAATTCATGTTGTTTGTGCTAT